CACCAGGATCCATCACTCCTCCATCCTCCTCCCCCGCAGCTCAAAAAATAGAAGTTATCCTCGGCAGGAATGGTTCTGAAGATGACAAGGAAAGCATGTCCAAATCAAACATAATTGTAAGTATGACTTGACGACAAAGAGATGTTCGGCATCCATGCTGTGCAGCATCCTTGGGTAGACTGGAGCCCGTATCTCTGAGGAGGAAGTGGCGACACACAAGTTTTTCTTTCCATATGACACTTCGTACTATACCCTGAAAGTCAGCTACTGTACCTCATACGGGCTGCATAGAGGAAGTGCGGCGCTCTGGCAACCTGAAGCCTGCAAGGGTACAAGCATTGAGAAAAACAATGTCAGCAAGACTTGTATTCAAGAGGGAGTTTTATGAGCAAACATGTTCACAACATCAGCCAAACACCTACCTTACCTTGTGATTTGAAAGGATACTCTGATGTCATGATTCCGATTAGTATGTAACCAGTTCTCTGTACCATCGACGAATTGGGGAACCACACTACCTGATCTAGGCTGCCGGCACATCGGCCACTTTGGTCTCTCCCTTCACCATGCTTGCAGCTTGAGCCTGCCCGAGGAAAGCCCCAAAGGTATCATGCTGAAAACTCTTTAGGGTTTAGGGTTTAGGGAGCACCACGGGCATTGGAAGTGGTGGCGGCGCAGTGATGTCGGTGGTGGTCATAGCACTACTCAGAAGAAGAGTGGCAATTCAAATCGTAGTCAGGTCTTGATATCTGTCGTTGCTGCTCTTGTGGTTGCTTATAAAAGTCTTTCCACAGACAGAGGCTGCCTGATAAAGGCCCCGTTGAATGATCCTTACCACGAATTCTTAGAAAGAATTAAAACTTAGGAACTGCAGATAATAGATTCAGGCGCGCGGCGCCCAAAACATAGACCTAAATCTATTCATATCTGGCGATACATTCTCCTCTCCCCGCCCACCCCCTAAAGGCTCTACGCGTCTCACAAGAGACGCGATCATGACTCACAAGCACCATGCCGTCTGACATGAGATCCCAAGAGTCCCACACACCAAGCCCCTAAACGCCTGAAACTCTAAACCGCAACCCCTAAGCAGCCCTAAACCTTCAAGCCCAGATACGCAAAACCACCAAAAGTCCAAAACCCCAAAATCCTCAGCTCTCAAAGGCAAACTGAAGTCGAACCCAAGCTTGCTGCCTCTCAGCCTCTGCTACTGAAAGGGACACGTTGTCCCTGCCGTCGCGCCTCCCACTTCAGCTTAGGGCTATAGAGGTTGAGGGCTTGCGATTTAGGTTGTTTGGGTTCAGGGTTTAAAAGGGCAGCCGCCTAAAAATGAACTAACTGGGTATAGCCCGTAACTGAAAACCATATAGGGATCCCTAATATAGCTCCCTAGCCCTAAACCCGAAACGTGGACTGTCTATTCGTTACTCATATGCTACTTCGTTGTGGGGTATACGACTCTCGGCGTGGCTGTTGGTCATGTCTACACTCGACTTGGTATGATAATGCCACTGAAGAGTTTGCCGGGATAACCGTAGGGGCACTCCATGCATGTAGTTCTTATGGGCTATGTAAGGTTGCAGCAAGGGGTGCTGTCAGAATATCAAGGACTTATGGTCCAAAATGCTTTTCCCAGGAATGCCCCAGTCTCAACCCTAAACTGACGTAAACCCTACCCGAACCCTAGAGGTAGACAGAATAATTGCCCACAACCCCTAAAAATAGCCCAAAAGGCCATTCTTGTACACACTTTTGGAGGTCAGGTAAACCTCAGGCAACACGGTTTAGGGTTGAAACTATGAAGAAGAGGAAGAGGGTTTTAGGATGATGGCATCTGCCGCACGTATTGCTGCTCAGGGCACTACAAACTCTTCTTTGCACGATCATTGCTACTAATCTGGTGTCTCCTCATCATGATCAATCGCTTCCTAGTCCTAGTAATGCCAGACACCACCCCTCCTAATATTAGATATTCCCAGCAAGGGACCTTATCTTCTGAGGGACATTTTCGATGTCAGGGGGTGGAAGGGGTGGAGTGTTGAGTATAAGTATGAGGTGATCACGGTGCCTGCTATGCTTCTTCTGTTCACTCTCTCATCAACAGCTTGGGGCTTTACGTTTTTGCATGCGAACTTCCTTGAAATTGTAGCCGCTTTGAATTGTGCTTGTGTGATTGAACCCAATAAGAATTTGCAGTCAGAAAAAACTCTACCCACAAGGGGAATGTACTTTCGCTCAATATTGGGGACTATAATCCCCCCTTTTAAGAAAGACTGCTCCCTTGCAGTCTTAGGTTTGCGCTTCGATTATGCTTTCAACCCTACTTGACTTTCCTGGCCGTACAGTAGGCTTGCTGGAGCCTTGAGGTATCCTCAGAAGTTTCAGAAGTTGGCGCCATTTTAGATTGCTACTCGAAGGCCGAAGCTCCCTAATTAGTAAGTAGGCTATAAACGGGGTTATCTGCAAATCAACCTTAATCAGGGAACGTCTAACCTCATTTACAACCTGCTTACTTAGTCCCCTCAGCCTCTAAGCAGTTATATTTCAAACCATCTGTGTCGCTGGAAAATGGCGGCCTTGTTCTCTCCGGAAAGGAGACTGCACCAGCCGACGCCATCCGCGACGTGCAAGGCATTTAAGCTGTGAATCTAGGGTTGTGGCTCAAGGATTTACGGTGTGGAGTCTAGTTGCTCGGGCCTTGGGGATGTATGGGTTTGGCTGAAATACTTGGAGATATTCAGCCTGGGGGGTAATTCAAGTGCTTATTTGGGTTTCAGGTGCTGAGGACTTAACAGTGTGGCGGTCAGGCTTTGGGTGCTGAGGGTGTGGGACTTCCCAGCAGCGACCCCTTGCGAGTGATTGCATTCGGCTTGCTTGTTGCTGATAAGAACAGGATATTGGACCTCTTACGCAGAAGGCCTAGCGTCGATTACACTAGCACTGAATAGGTGGATCTATACTCCTGGCTCATGCTTCAGCAGCTGTTGCTTCTAAAACTTAGGGGTTTACAGATTTAGGGTTTCGGATCTAGGTTTTAGGCTGTAGGTGCAGGTTTGGGGTCTCAGGGTGTAAGGTTTCATACATGACCTAAAACTACGAGGTAAAGAAGCCGCGACTGGATGGTTATAGCCGCAAGTCGACGCCTGGAGTGTTCCACTATTTGGGCTGGCACTCTGCATGAAACTACCCAAACCCCTGGGCGATCTGGTAAAGAGATGCCCATGAAGGATTCCTCGAAACTAACCAAAGTACTGTAAACCTCCCACTATAAAGGGAGTGGCAATAACATTTTGTTGCTGAGCCAGAAAATTCCCGCAAGACGTCCGCTTCCTAATCAATTCGGAGCCCGCCAGGTGGAGACAAGATCCAGCGACAATAATAGGGGCGTGGCAATAACAATATTGTCCGCCCGAAAATATTCGATTGAAAGGAATTTCCTTCTACTTGTACTACCAGTAGTACAAGCTGCACTACCTAGCCCTACCCAAACCCCCTGGTTTGTTGTTGCGAGCCCCCCCTCCTTCTCCGTAGACCAAAATCGCAAGACAAGATCTGCGCGGAGATTCTTTACTGCGAGGTTAACATCATATGACTTGCAGATCGTAGGCTATGTACACTCCCGGAAACTAACATGGAAACCCAAAAAGGGCCCTATAAAGACTACAGTTGTTTTAAGAATGGCTATATGGGTTGCCACATTAGTTTGGGGGAGTGTACGCAATATTTTCTAGATCCTCCCAGGGATCGGGTAGCTGGTTACTAGCCACAAATTAAAGAGCGCTTTCTTCGTGTAGAACTCGGAATCTCTTAGGAATTTCCGGGGTTCGGAATCCAAATGCTATTGCAGGATATTCTACAACGATGATTCTGGATCCACTGCCCAATCCTCAAGACCAGTAACAGGAGGCTTGAGACTCTTTCTTGATAGTTTTCATACATAGGAAAACCCAAAATAGAGCCCAAAATTTGTTGGGAAACCCCACTTTGATTGGTACAGAACTTCCTCATATAGGCCTGAGCACCATTTTGAGCGCTGGAGATTGTCTTGCCTTCCCTCACTAGTCGGAGCTGGCACACAACAAGTTGCCACATGTCACACATTCCAGCACGCAGAATACGTCATTCCATTGAAATCCCCTGGAATCAAAGCTGGTACTGGTAGTTAGTAGCTTAGGTGCTTGGTGTTCCCCTTGCACTTGCCAGAAAGTGCCCGCAAGCGTCCATGCTGTCATATGAAATTGTACAATGGACAAAGACCGGCAGGTGCGGACTCAAACTGCGGCCCTCATAGCTGAAATACCAGCTGCTATAATCTGGGAATTATGTCACATCTCTGCTTTGTTCACATGTCAGCAAAAACAAGAGTCATCACAAGGACTCGAGCATGATTTGAGAGTTGCTTCTGGTCCTTTTGCTGCTGTCATGATTGTGCTCAAAGCTGATTTGCTTGCGCTTGGTTAGGTGGAAGTTACTATGGACAGAGCTGACACAGCCGCGTCAATGATACCAGTTGAATCCTGCTTGCTTCAGCATGCGCAGGAGTCGTTGAACTACTGCTCCTGTCACAGGGCGGATCGCTCCCTAGCGAACGTCCAACCCTGCTTTCTTCCGAGCTCCTCCTCTCTTTTTTGTTGGGGGCAAGTTGCTGCTTAGTTGGCTGATCAGACCCAACTCTCCTGGGAATCGACACTTGAACTTTGCCCTAAACCCCTAGGCCCTAACCCTAAGCCCCAAAACCATTCTTCTATACTAACAATCATCACAGCTACTTCGAGGAGCCGCCTAAATAAGAGGGATAAGCATGCTTGAAAACCCTATAACTGTCATGATGGAAGTCGTCAGCTACTTAGGAGGAGTTCAAGGGACCCTAAGCTCTAAACCCTGCAACCCCAACCCCTGAACCCTCAATACCCTAAACCCTAAAAACCTAAAACCCTAGACCCTTCAACCCTGAATACCCTGAACCCTAAATACCCTAAATACTCTAAACCCTGAATACCCTAAAGGAGGAGTTCAAGCTCGGTTCGGCGGTAACAGTGCTCAGAGTCATCTTCCAGCTTGGGGTAAGAGGGGATCAGCGCATCCTTGGCACAGGGGGTATATAGGGCTTAGGGTTTTAGGTAAAAAGGTTTCGGATCTAAACTCCTTAAAGGGAGGTTATATAGGGGATTATATAGGGGAGTATAGTAGGGCTTATGAAGGGGGATGCTAGAAGTTTAGACTATAGCTCACATGGAGGGTTTAGGGGTTTGCTTAGGGATTTTAGGTTTTAGGGTTGAGGGCTTCAGGATTTAAAGGGTTTTTAGGATTCTTAATGTTTGAAGGTCTAGGGTTTTAGGGCTTCGTAGGGTTAGGTTAGGGTTATACTGATAACTTCTACGCCGCACAACAACCCCAACTATCCCATTAATAGCCTACTTGCCAGGACGCCCGGACCCTCCATGTGAGGTTTAGGGTTTCGGGATTCGGTTTCGGGTTTATGGATTAGTGGATTAGGTTTAGGGTTTAGGGAGTATGGTTTAGGGGTCTAGGGCTTAGGGTTTAGGGTCTAAACTCCTGGTATCCCCTCAGTAACCCCTATAGTAGTCCCATATACAATCCCCTATTTAACCCCTTCTAAGGAGTGTAGGTAGGTATATTCCGAATCACTAGTGTTGTCCACAATAGCAGGTAAAAGAGACCATAGGACATCATTTGGGATTTGGCTGCCTAGCCTCAGAAATGGAAGCTTAGGATTGAAGGGCTCGGAGATTTGAAGGGTTTAGGCTTTACCTGGGCCTCAGAAGTAGGCAAAAAAAAATAGCACAAAACCCACTTGTTTTAAATCCTGTTGGGGTTCAGGTACGCTCTTGCGGGCTAATGTTTTGAGATGTTAGAGTTTTAGGGTTTAGGCTTTCGGGTTTGGCACTTTGAGATGTAGGGGCTTCTTGTGATGTACTTGGAGAGCTGAACTGGGGCTCAAAGTGCTGTCTCATGGTGGATGGGGATCCGTACATAGAGGCTCCCATGTTCTGCATACCTAGAAGCCTGCCGGCCATTTGCATACTTGAGGACTGTTAGGGAATAGTGGTTTCGATTCAGGCTTCTCTAAGATGCCTTCTTTGTCTTCCTAAGAAGTGTGAAAGTTTCGCATAAGCAGAATCCCACAGATAGGAGTTCCTTGCTGGGGTCAGTTTAATACAGGCTCCTTGGGTTTTGCTTGTCTGTAAGGCTCTATTGTGATATAGACATGTCACTATGAAGTTCGGGTTTGGGGGTGTGTGCAGTTCCTCGCTTGCAAGGACTCAAAATGTATCATCTTTCTGCATGCGTCATAGCTGCATATTAAACCCTAAACCCTAAATCCAAAACCCTACACTGCCACTATGCTTTGCCTGTATCCCATGCTGTCACACCTGTTTAGGCTTCTACACTAGTAGTTTTATCAAGTTTCTAGCTGACATACAGGGCACCAAGTATGATCCGGAGCACAGTACTGCCAGGTCCTCGTTCCCTACTGGCCTGCCAGCATTCCAACATCCCATAGCGTAGAAGCCTCAATGTGAACCCCCACCCCAAAGCATGGAACCTTCAACCCCAGGCCCCTGAACCCCAAATCCCTAAAACCCTAAATTGCGTATGTCTAAACCCTGAACCCTGGCCCCTAAACACTGAAGCCTCGACCTCAAACCCGACAAGTGCGTACTTCTAACATGACGGGTCTATCTCTATTTTTACCCCCAAAAGCTATAATGCTTCTGCCGCGGTCTCTCCCAAGAGGAACACCCTAAACCCTAAACTCTAAACCCCAAACCCTAAAAGCAAGCTTCGCTTTTCTTCTTCCATGATCACTATATACCCCCTCTAGGACCACTATAGGACCCTAAACCCTAAACCCCACAAGGCCCCTTTATGACCCTAAACCCCCATATGACCCTAAATCCTAAACCCTACATAACCCCTATATATAACTCCTATACAACCCCTGTACTAGATCCTAAAATCCCAAACTGTAAATATGAGCCATAGTCTAAACTCCTAGTATCCCCCTTAATAAACCGCTAGACTATTCCCCTATATAGTCTCCTATATAATCCCCCTTTAAGGAGTTTAGACTATAGCTCATATAACCTTGAATTCGTCAGCCCAGGCCTGCGAGCCGATATAGAGGTTGTTGTACAGTCGCCAATATACGGCCTGAGCTTTTTCAGGTGTTTGGGGGAGGATCGAGGGGTTTAGGGTTTAGGGTTAGGGTTTAAGGTTTAGTGTTGAGGGTCTCAGGTTTAGGGTTTAGGGGTTGGGGTTTAGGGTTCAAGTTGATCAGGGGGTCGGGAGTGGAACAGAAAATCCAAGCCATTACGCTAGTTACTGTGGGGTTTAGGGCTTGGGGTTTGGGATTCAGGGTTGGGTGGTGCAAGGTTTGAGGGTTGGGTTCTCGCGTCATGGTTTGGGGTTTCTTGCCGCTTTTTGTACATCTTCTGTCCTGACGGGGTCGTTGCGGTTTTCAGTTGGATTCTATAGGATTACTGAAGCCCCCACCAAAGTAGGTGAAATAACTGCTCAAAACCCAAGCCAACAAAAACATTGTTCTACATACTTTGGGTCTCTAGGTACGTGTTTTCTCGGCTGAGCACGTCAGGTCAAGGGCTCGCGGTTTAGGGTTGAGGGTTCCTTTGGTATGGCTCAGGATTTAGTGTCCTTCGAGCCCAAATGCAGAAGCAACAGCGGTCACCAAACAGTCCTAAACTGGATATGCGCCAGCTCTCAACACATTCCACCCGACAATCCCCCGAAAAATATCCCTGTTTCACTGTTGAACACTTGACGTTGTACCTGGGGTATGGGAGACACTCTAGGACACTCCCTGGGAACATATGGCCCATATTGGGCTATATTCCACCCCTACAACCCTAGATCTAAAGGCCTAAGCGCTGAACCCTAAACCCCAATCCGTGGAGACCAAGTTCGGGGTACTAACTTAGATTCTTAGAGGTACAACCCAGACGCGGATGAGGTCATCTTAGGAGACTGCCATCCCCAAGCAGGGTTTAGGGATCTCTCAACCTTACAACTATGGAACCGCTGTAAGGGGGTTCATAGGGATGATAGAGGGGGTATTACTTGGAGGTCCGTTGTACTTAAAATCTACTTAGTAACTGTAGCTACAACCTCATTATAAGTCCCATAACTACAGTGACCCTAGATATGATAGGATTTTAACTACAGTTACTAAGTAGGTTATAAGTAGAACGGATCTCCAAGTAGGGTGGCTACAGACAAACATGGAAGCTGGTGTGGTCAATTTTTAGAGGACATCGGCCTTTCTAGCGCCCCTTTTCGGGTTAGTTGGGGGTGGTGGAGACTACGTTTCGCCTACCCTCACAGGCGGTTTAGGCTTACCTAGACCCGAAAAGTATGTAAAAAATTGCCTCTATGGCTATTATTAACGGTTTAGGGCATCATTTTGCAGACCTTTGGGGTTTAGGTAATAGGGCTATCTAAACCTTCTTTGTGAACGTGAGGTATTGATGGGGAGGAGTGCTTTGCGATGAGGTGAGGACCATGAAAACACTCCTTCGAACCCTCCCCAACCCACAAACCAAGCCTACACCCTAAATCGTAAACACTAACCCCAGACCAGAAACCAACGCCCTGAACCCTGTTCCTGCCAAAAGGATTGCCCTGAGGATGCCACCCGCACTCTTCTAGCTGGATGCCACAAGCCTGTAGGCTTGAGGGTTCAGGGTGAGGGGCTTAGGGTGTAGGGTTTAGGCTTTAGGGTGTAGGATTTAGGGGGTCAATGATTCAGGCTTCAGAATCCAAAGCCGCGCGTGCGGCTAAAGGTTTGGGGGCCTGGTGTTTGCCTTTGCTTTGCTCAGAAGTTCAGCCAATGGTATCTTTGCGAGCTCAGGAAATCCAGCTGAACACAAACGCCGTGTCGCCGCAAGTAAGGCAGGGCCGCACCAAAAACGGGTAGGCCTCTTGAGTACTTTATACATTATGCCGGAGTTCTATGAGGTCTTGACGGAAATCCTGAATCCTACACCCTACTCAGGCTTCTACATTATGCCAGAAAGTTCGTGACAGCCCAGTCAGCCAGCCAAGCAGAGGACCCAAAACTGTATACATCGACAATTGTCCATGTTGCGGGGGCTTAGTGCTTCAACGCAGCTTGCCGTACTGTTGATGAACTGCATCCCGCAAGGCCCTGCAGGCAGAATGTGTCCTTCAACTGTAATCTCCTCCCCTGAATAGTAACCCCCCCCCCCCCCACACACCCCCTAATATTCAATAGTCCCCATTATAATTTTGGGGTCTCTCCTTGCCCAGGAAGAGTGGGTTGCATCTCCACTGTGCAGCTACCCTTGACGGGGTTCTGGCTATTCGCAGATTCGAGCTGAACGCCAATATGCAAGCCAAAACCACGCATGCATACCTCATCCGCACGACTCCTGAGACTTTTTCCCCGGGAGACGGCTATGAATAAGAATGGCTCCTGGTAACCTTCTCCTTGCAAAATACTCTTTCCAAAACGCTATCCCCAACAAGTGGCTCACGCTCTTGGTGCACCAAAGATTAACCTGAAGACTGGCAACTGCCGCCTAGACCGAACTCGACGCTTTATTGCGGACTAACCAATTGGATCATGCAAGCTGCAGTCCACCAACAACATCAGTGAGACATAACTTCAGCCCTCCTGCTAACCCTGAAAGTCCAGATGCCCCAATAATCAAACACTTCCCCTAAAGCACTACTACATCTACTCGTACCAGAAGCCCAAGTACCCAATTGTTTGGGTACATGGAGCCTTAAAGTGAATCCGAATATTTTCCCGGTTTCCGTGTGATTTTCCATGATCTTTTCCATGTGATTCTCCATTTCTGGCATAATATTCCTGAACTCCAAACCCAAAATCCCAAACGGTATATAAGCTATAGTCTGAAGTCCCGTACTTACCTTTATAGTACTCCCGTATATGATCTCTGACATAACACCCTTTAAGGACCTTAGACTACGGCTCATATAGTCCCTATACCTTAATTAACCCCGACGCCTTAACCCCAAACCCCAAACCCTAAACCCTTAGTTCCTACATGGGCCCTGGGTAAATGATCTGGCCTTGGAGCAGGTACTGGAGGACCTTTGTTGGGCCCAGGGAAACCCGGAAGCCGTCGATGGCATCGAACACGGCCTGTTTGGCAGGGTTTAGGATTTAGGGTTTTAGGGTTTAAGGGTTTGATGGATCTCCAACTTTACGCAGCAGCTTTTCAAAAAAAAATACACCAAAATCATACACCTCCCCCAAACCTGTATGACAACTACCATTACCTACCTTCCAAGAAATTACTCAAATATAGGGTACTTGGACCCTAAACCCAACACAATATCCCTATAAATCCCTATATACTCCTATAGATCTCGTTAAAGGAGACCTGATTATGATTATGGTTCTGTTTCAAAGAAGGCTAGGGACCGCGTGGGCGAGCAGTTCGTAAGTTGTTTCCGCGGCTTAGGATTCAGGGTTTCGGGTTTAGGGCTCAAAGTCTACAAATGATAGCTACTGACCGCGCAGCGCGGGCCCTAGAGTCTGTGGTACCTACTTCGAGCTACTATATGGAGATGGCCTGGAGTAGTTGAAGGGTTTGATTGCTATATAAGTTTAATGTTCCGAGCGCGCAGAGGGCCTGCCCTGGCTAGGCAACACATTCAGAGCAGCCGTACCGCTGGCATAGTAGAAGTGGTGGGCTGAACTCCAAGCAGAAAGAGCCTTTAGGGTTTAGGGTTTAAGGTTTTAGGGCTTAGGGTTTAGGGTTTTAGGGTTTAGGGCTTAGGGCTGGAAGCTCCTTGGCTGCATTTTGGGAATGGCAATCAGTGTGCAGCGTTTAGTACCTGGATTCATCACGGAACTCTAAGCTCGAGGGTGGTATAAAACGGTGGTTGAGGGTTGGGGGTTTAGCGCTTTAGGGTTTTAGGGTTGAGGGTTTACCTGAACCCCACGAGTAGGTAAAACAATAGTCAAAAATCGCAAAAATAGCGCAAAAGACAGTTATTCTACATACTTTTGAAGTTCAGGTAGTCCCCCTAAGCCCTAAACCCTAAAACCCTAAAACCCTAAACCCAAGACGTCAGCCGCGAGCTGAGGGTGTAGGCTTTAGGGTTTAGGGTTCAGGGTTTAGGGTCTAGGGTTTAGGGTGTAGGGTTCATGGTTTAGGGCTTTGTGTCGGTTTCGAGCCTTCCAAACTTTCTTTCGGATTATTCGAGGCCACATGAAGTCCTATGAGCTGTAGTCGGAACTCCTAGTATCCCCCTTAATACCCCTATAATAGTCCCCTATATTATCCCCTATTATACAACACTCATTTAAGGAGTTTAGACTATAGCTCCTGTGAGATCCTACGCCTCCAATCCGCAAGGCTGCTCAATCTCTTTGAAACCCTGAACCCTTATCCTTACAATAGCCTCTGACATTCCAGCCTAAATGCACCCTAAACCCACCAAAGGCTAGATGCTTCCTCCTTCACCTCTTCGTCTTCGAGATCTTGGGCCCGCACCCGCAAAATTCACGGCCCATCGGTGTGCGCAATGTAAGCTTTAGGGCTTCTGACTTATCAGGCTTCGGGTAACCCTAAACCCTGACCCCTAAAACCTAGACACTACACTTAAAACCTGTAAGCAGCTAGCACTTCATGGCCCACCTGTTCAGCTTCTTGAATTCCACCCCCAAAACGCGCAACCTCATTCCGACACCCTAGATACCTGGATCCTTGACCGCTAAATACCCAAACTCTTAGTAGGGCCGAGGGTTAGAGCTTAGCTATGAAGCCAAATTCGATTCTTCGCTGGGCTCTGGATGTCCTTCCATGTGGGGTGTTTTGTCACAGTTCTGTTGTACAGTTTCGTACTGCACATGCCAAACAGGTAGAACATCCAGGGTCCAAGTAAGACCTAAGGCCTGAAAAGACCCTAAACCCTAAACCCTAGGGACCCCGACCATGATCAAGTGCGGCGAATTCTCGAAGACGTTCGGCCACACGTAGTTCATCAGGTGCTGCAGGGCGTCCTGCTCAGGGGAGCTGAGTTCCCTTGCAAAACGTGTTAGCCTTCGAAGAATAGTAGGACGGGACTATATGAACCCAAACCTTAAACACCAAAGCTTGTCACTGTTGAAAATAATGTGTAGTATTCTGGAACTCCTTAAACCCTAGACCCCAAGCCCTTCAAAAGCTTAACCCTAAATTCTACACCCTGAAGCCCTACACCCCAAACCCTTGAACCCTAAACCCCAAACACTTAAGCCCTAAACCCTAAACCCCAAACCCTATACCCTAAATAGTAGTTCCCATTTTCTTTTCCAGTACCCCAATACAACCCTATATAACCCTAAATAGCCCTACATAACCCTAAACCCTTCAACCCCAGCGAGGGACCCTGAACCCTCCTCGCATCCCAGGCCGTGAACTCCGAGAGCCAGATGCTTGCAGGTCCAGGCAGCGGTCTGCCTCAAGGCTGTGGGAGTTTAAGGGTTTAGGGGCTTAGGGTTTAGGGTTAAAGGGTTTCGGGTTTAGGGTTTAGGGTTAAAGGGTTTAAGGTTCAGGGTTGAGGGTTCAGAGTTTAGGGTTCAGGGTTAAGGGCTTAAGCTTTGGGACTTAGGGTTTAGGGGGCTTTTCCTTGGAGTCCATGGTATTCAATTATTTGGGTACAACTGTTGTTAACCCCCAGCTGAATCAAGGTTCAAGCTGATTGGGACATGATACCTCGTTGCTAACTGCTGTGGGCCTCCAAGTAGCCTCTGAACATATTGGCATGCGGGCCTTAAAGATTTGTGATTCAAGGCTTTAGAGAAGAAGGTATAGGTGGCCCAGAATTGGAAGCTTGGGGTCTAGGTGTGCACAGTTTCGGTTTTTCGGGGTTCATGCATTGGGGTTTAGGGTTTAGGGTTTGTGGGGTTCAGGGTTGAAATGTTATGGAGGAAGCTCTCAACCCCGAGCTTCTCCTTACTAAAGGCTCCCCAACTCACAAGCGAATGACAAGCAGCCCGGAAAGCGCGCGTGAACAGGGCTCCGGGGGAAAGAAATTCTCTAGCATTTTGTAGGTGTAAAGTTTAGGGCTTGATTGGGCATGCAAGGTTTCTTGGGCACTCAACCAACATCCCTCCAGGCTTCCAAAATTTGCGGTAACCTTTTTGCAGCGCAATAATACATAATATGTATATGTAAGCTCAAACCGCAAACTAGCCCTAAACCCTAAACCCCAAGCCCTAGGCCCAAAAAATAGCAAGATCGCATGCGCCAAGCCTTATAAAGCCTAAATTCTGCACTGCATGAAGATAAAGAGGACAGGCAGCCTAACCCTCCAAGTACAGCCACAAAACTTCTTCGACATCCGAGTTGAAAGGTATTTCCAGAAAACCCTCCCCAAACAGGACCCTTCCTGCCCAAAGAAGAAACCTCTACTCCGAATCTCCCATCCTAAGGAGAAGATCCACTGATGTAAGGAGCTGGGGCAGTAGGTACTCTTCCCCACTGCAGGCCCTCCGCTGGCCGAATTATGAGATCTGTTTTGGGAACCCACAGCTTCTGGAGAAGAACCACGGGAATTCCACTCTTTTTGCAGGAGCTTAGTGAGGAACCGTGACAAACTAATAGCAATGCTCAAGTTTGAAATGTCCCCCAAGCCCTGTCTAGCCCTCCCAGCCCTAAACCCCTGCAACCTAAAGCCTAATACTCTAAGCCCCTAAATCTCACACCACAAAGCTTCAAACTTAAAGCCCTAAATCCTAAACCTGAACTCTGGGCCCAGCCGGCCTGTGAACAAGATCTCTATCCATGAGCGCATCCTCCAGAATGGGCGTCACTGCGTAGATGTAGTCCTGCATCAGCCGAGTTGCTGTTGAGGAACTTAACTTAAGATACTATAATAAGGAAACCACCTCGGTTACTTTATACCCATGTTATGATAACTTCATTTACCCTAAACCCTAAGCCCTAACCCTAAGCCCTAAGCCCTAAACCCTAAGCCCTAAACCCTAAACCCATAACCCAGCTAGGGCTTAGGTTTAGGAGTGCAGGTCAGGGCTTTCAGTTTCAGGTTTGGGGTTTCAAGATTTAGGGTTCTAAGTTAAAGCTTTATAATACATGGGTTTGGGCTCAAGGTCCGATTTTGGGGTTTCGGGCAGAACCTGAACCCCAAAGGTACGTAAAATAATGGCCCGAAACATCTACAATCTAAAGCACGCCAAGATGGCCATTATTCTGCATACTTTTGGGGTTCAGGTAGGGTCTAGGAACATGATATGGCTTCGGGGCTTTCGTGCCCCGAGCCTGATGACATGAGAAATGGCTGCAAGTTCAAGTAAGCAGTTGGCCATGCAAGCCGAGCACCCAAATAATTAGAAAAGCCCATGAATAAAGGGAGTCTACTGGGAACCCCAAATAGGGA